CGGGCAGGTTAGCAGTGGCGGCAGCAGCTGCTCGAGAATCTAGCTCGAATTTTATGCTCAACATGACCACCACGACCACATCTCCATCACCCCCAGTTCATCACCTTCTTTCACCCCCGCTGGAGACGTTGCTAAAGCCCGCCTGTAGGGAGGCGGTGGGACGGCTGCTGGAGCAGATGATCACCACCACGGAAACTCCTCTTTCTTCGACTTTAGCCTCTTCATCTCTTGAAGCATTATCATCATCTTCAGGAACATCTCCTCCTGCGGCGGAGAGCGAGCAGTCCCTCCGGCACCGCCTGCTGGTGTCGGAGAACGCCGAGGTGGGCGTCATGTTCGCCTCGAAGCCGGTCGTCCAGGCGCTGACCAACCTCTTTGTAGGGCCCCTCACTGCTCGCATCGGCTACAGCTGGCCGCTCTTCTTCGGCCTCATTCTGCTCTTTCTCTCCACTATGGGTAAGCTGTTTAGCACTTTCTAAAATCTTTTCACAAGTTTTAACGCCTCTTTTTCTCCCCCCCGGAAGTCTTCGCCATTGGCACCACCTACCCGACGCTGTTTCTGGCGCGGTCGATGCAGGGCGTCGGCTCGGCCTTCACCTCGGTGGCCGNAGTACCCCGACGACCGGGAACGGGGCAACTGCATGGCCATTGCCCTGGGCGGGCTGGCGCTGGGCGTGCTGATTGGGCCGCCCTTTGGAGGGATGGTAAGGATTTGAGAAGAGATTTTGAGTTCATTTTTTATTGAAATCCCTGATTAGATGTACCAATTTGTGGGGCAGAGTTCGCCCTTCATCACCCTCGCCCTGCTCGCCCTGCTGGACGGATGTGAGTTTGTTTTCGATGATTAGCTTTTCGAAGAGGTTTTTCGTTTTTTGACGATCATCCTCTCCCCCAGGCCTTCAGCTGCTGGTCCTCCAGCCCGAGGTGGTGCGCGAGCAGGTGGCCGGCCCCTCCCTGCTCACCCTCATCCGCGACCCGTACATCGCCATCGCCGCGGGGGCGATCACCTTCGCCAATGCGGGCATCGCCATGCTGGAGCCCTCCCTGCCCCTCTGGATGATGGACACCATGGGCTCGAACAACTGGGAGCAGGGGGCGGCCTTCCTCCCCGCCTCCATCGCCTACCTGGTGGGGACGAACGTCTTTGGGCCGCTGGGCCACCGGATCGGCCGCTGGCTCAGCTCGCTCCTCGGTCTGGTGATGATCGCCCTGGCGTTGCTCAGTGTAAGTTGATCATTTTATTTCGAAATTGAGTTTTGATGTTGATGAGGTATTTGTTGATGTTTTGATTTTGCAGATTCCCATGGCCACCTCGCTCGCCGGCCTCATCATACCGAACGGGATGATCGGCTTCGCCATCGGCATGGTCGACTCCTCGATGATGCCCATGCTCGGCTACCTGGTGGACATTCGCCACAGCTCGGTGTACGGCAGCGTCTACGCCATCGGCGATGTCGGTCAGTTTTTGGAGATGGCTTTGGCCTTTTGAGTTCTATTTTGAAATTTTGACTTTTTTCTATTCTTTCTTCAGCTCTCTGCGTCGGCTACATCATCGGCCCTGCCCTTTCGGGCGTCCTCGTCAACTGGTTCGGCTTTGGCGGCCTCTGCACCACCACCGCCTTTGTCTGCTTTCTCTTTGTGCCGGCGATGTTTGCGCTGCGAAATCCGCCACCGAGGGCAGGTCTTGAGGTGGTGAACTGCAGGCTGAACCCCGAGGGAGCCGTCAAGTATGGCGCCTACTGCAACGAGGAGGACGAGGAGGGCGAGGCTGGGGCTGGAACTCTCCAAGGGGTGAAAAAGAATGGAACGATTCCCAATAGGAAGGCGAGCAAGAGGGCGTCTTTTGAGATGCTGCCCTAGAAGAGAAGAAGAACCTAAAGTGAATTTGAACGAGTTGTTGCTATGCTGTGCTGTGCTGTGTTTCTATTTTGTCCTTTTGTTGCTTAGCTTCCTTCCCCGAGGGGGATCAAGCAGTCGAGGGGCGTTGCTGTTGCCGACAACAGTGTGTACTGTCGGTGCGATCATAAAGTGAGATGATATTTTGTTGATGATGATGGTGATGGTGATGATCTACGAAAAGAAAGTTGCCTATAAACGCAGGTCGCCGGAAAAGTTTCTGGCAAGCTTTTTGCTGCTGCTGGTGGCGACCAGAGGTGGGAATCGAGTCCACTTTTCCGCTGTAGCTACACAGCCAACGTTACGCGCCCTCTAGCGTTGGCTGTGTAGCTACAGCGGAAAAGTGGACACGATTCCCACCCTTGGTGGCGACGCCTGGCGGCCTCGCTTGGCGTTACTGCTGCCGTTGCTGCTCTGTTGTTTTCGAAAAGTCAACAACAGAGCTAGTCGACAGTTTTCTATTTTTCCACTTTCTATTTTTTTGCATCGTCACCTTCCTGGTCAGTCAAATCCCACCGATTTTGAAAGCTCCTCAGCTAGAAGAAGAGAGACATGCCCTCTGAAAGCGTGGTCGGCGAAGAGGCGCACTGCCG